TAGGGAGGGAAGAATCCCATGCTGAGGCAGAGGGTAAAGGTGTGGTGTTCTGGAGAGTTAGCTCTCATTTGGGGCTGTCCCTCCCAGGCCCTGCATTGAAATTTTATTCTGTTTCCTTTCTTTTGGAAACAAGGTCATTGTAACTGGGGAGGGAAGTAAGGTGGACTCAGTACAACGTGTGTCCCTAGGAAAGGAGTTGTGGATACAGACACACACACCAGCTCAGAGGTAAAGATTAGGGTGAAGGGGTAGGATGACATACACCTGTCACCCCAGCGTTTGGGAGGCTGAGCATACCTTGAGTTCAAAGCCAGTTTTTACTACATAGTAAGGCCCTGACTTAAAAACCCAGCCCCCCTACAAAGACCAGGGGGATACTTCTCCAAGCCCAGGATACTGCAAGTACCACCAAACTCCCCAAACCAAGTGGAGGCTTGGAACAGACTTAGTCCCCAGAAGAGCTACCAGGCTGATGCCTTGGGCCCGGACTTTTGGACTGAACTCCAGAACTCAGTCACAATAAACTCATGTAAGTGTGTGTGTGTGTGTGTGTGTGTGTGTGTGAGAGAGAGAGAGAGAGAGAGAGAGAGAGAGAGAGAGAGAGAGAAAGAGAGAGCATGTGTATGCTCACACACTTGTAGGTCCAAGGCCATGTTAGGTGTCTTCCCCAATCTCTCCCTGTTTATCTTTTGAGTCAGGGTTTCACTGGACCCAGTGCTAAGGTTACAAGTAAATGTGACTATGAGCTGCTTTTTAATGTAGGACTCAGGTCCTAACACTTACTTGCAAAGTGGACCCTTTGTGAGCTAAGTCATCTCTTCAGCTCTTGTTTTCTCTGTTTACAAGGCTAAGTTTTCTCTTTTTTTTCCAAGTCTGGCCTGGACAGCATGGCAATCCCAAGTACTCCTGCCAAACAATCTTTTGTTTCTGAAGCTCCCTGCTCTGGCCCATTTGCATATACTGTTAGTGGCCTCTTCCCTCCTGGGTTCCCTGTCAAAACAAGCTCATCCATCAAGCAACACATGGTAAGTGGGCACTGTCCACTGCTAAAGGCTCAGCCCAGAGGTCAGATGGTTTGTCTAGGAGCCAAAGAAGGGACAGCAGTGAGTGTCAGTGTGTAGACGCTGTGGACTCAGATCATCCATTCACTAGCTGCTGACCTTGAGACAGTAAATTAACCTTTCTTTGTCTCGGTTTCTTCCTCACCGGGTGAGGGGGTCACTTGGGTTGTTAAGCAGAGCCTTGAACAGTGCCTGGCTCCCACAGATACTGCACAAGCATTTTCAGAAGTGTCCACAGGATAGATGTGCAAGACTTCTGGTGAGGTCTAGGATGCCATAGCTGTTGCCCAGTGTCTCAACCAGGAAGAAGGGCAAGAACATTGCTTTCTAAGCTCTGGTCCAGGGCCCTCCTCCTGCCTCAGCTTCCCTAGTAATAAGTGGATAAAGTGATGCTGGGTGTTGGGGGGCCGTGAGACTACCTGTGCCAGCTTCCTGGTTACACACAATGCCACTGGGAAGTGTATATCGCAGAGGAGATACCCAGGCCACACAGGGCCTCAGTTGCCTTTCAGAGGCCCAGCACCCCAAATCCTGCAACCTTGGGCAGGCACTCCAGAGTGCTGTAGCATGGGGGTAAATCGGGCATATGTACATGTGTACAAACAGCTTTTATCTATCATCAGCTCTAGGGAGGGCCTCATTCTCCATAGGGGTCAGATACCTGGGGTTCTGGTCACACCCTCTGCTATTATCTTGTTAGGGTAGGGAAACTGAGGCCTAGAGTGGGGGAAGGAAGGATGTTTCAGAGCTTTGCAGAGAAGGGACAGAATGTCCTCTTTCAGTCTGGCTTTCTGCTTTAATGCCCAGGAAATGTGTCAATATTTGCTCATGGGAACTGCCGCCCCACCGCCCTTGGTCAACCCCTCCGGAACCGGCTTGGTGTCTCCATCTGTGAGACTATGGTTGTGTCTGAGCTCTGCTAGCTCTCCACAAGGGAGGTCTCTGTAAGCTCTGGCTGCAATAAATGGGCAAACACGGGATTTATATGTGGTTGTAAGTGACAGGGGTGTTCTTGGCCACACACAATCAAGGGAACTCCAGATCCTTCACTTCCTAGCTCAAAGTGCCTGTGAGCCAGCTCCGGGTTCGGGTGGAGCCTCAGTTTCTTTATTCCTGAAGTGCACCCGACAACCCCATTTTACAGGACTGTAAGGTGACCGGATGACTCATGCTCAGATCAGCCCAGTGCTTTCTGTGTCCGCCAGGGGGCGCCGCTGGACCTTAGAGCACCCTATTTTCCTCTTCGCTCAGATTCGGCTTTATTCGCCCACTCTCGGATCCCACCCGGCTCTGTTCGTTTTGACTCGGGAAAAATCGACTCTGTTCGGCTCTACTCGGCCATACTCGGCTGGGATTCAGCTTTGCCAGGCCTTGTTCGGCTGGACGGCTCTGTTCGTCCCTTTTCGGATATGCTCGGCTCCTCTCCGGACTAGGCTTCCACGTTGTAGGCCCTGGGAAACTTGAACCCTTCTTCTCCCCCTAGTTGTCCCTTTTGCCTGGTCCTGGAGGGTCTAGCCTGGATCACTCAATAGAGGGGGACTCCATAAAGCCAGAGCTGTCTGCATGGGACTGTATGTCAGAGAAACCCTGCCCACTTTCTGGGGTGCACTGGCTCTCTCCAGGAAGTGGCACCCTCCTCTTCATTAGTTCAGACTTTAATTTGGTAGTGATCTTGAACTCCCAACTGTGAATTACCATTCAGGATTTACACAGGTGACTTCTGGCGTCAGCAAGTCACTGTCCTGGCTCCTGGAAGTCAGAAAGGGCCGAGTGAGCAGAGAAACAGGCTCACACCGTGGGGCTCTGGCCTTGGTGACATGGCTGGGGTTGTTTGTGCCTGGGTGCACTTTTGCTGATAGAGTATGGAGGGCCTCATGGGCCTTGGGGGTACCCACTGGCAGGTGTGTTGAGAAAAGTGGGTACAAGCCTCAGCATGCAAGGTTTAACCTTTTTAACCGAATTGGCCAGGAGGAAGCACCCTTTGACAGGCTATGCCCAGACACTCATACAGCCCAGACTCAGAGAAGTGCCAGGAGGTGGTGGTTCAGGCCTTTGATCCCAGCACTCAGGAGGCCCAGTCAGTCAGATCTCTGTGAGTTCAAGACTAGTGTGGTCTACATACAATGTGAGTTCGAGGCCAGCCTGGGCTACACAGTGAAACCCTGTCTTGCAAAACAAAACAAACAAAATACTCAGAGACGTAAGGAAACTAACCCAGCATCACGCAGCTAGAAGGATACGCAATAGAGCCATAATCCAAGTCTATCTGTCTACTACAGGACTGGAGCTCTGTCTCAAATCTGGCTGGCCAGCCTGGGACATCCTCACGACTGAGGTCAGTGGCTTGGAGCTTCCTTAATTGTTAAGGTAGAGTGAGCAGCCAGGCCCTGCAAGAGGGGTGCTGAGCATAGTGGCGTACACAATGCTAGGCACACAGCTGGCCTTCAACAAGACCATGCATTTCTCCTGCTCCATCTATCTTTCCTTTTGGATGTTTTTTCCAGTTTCTTATACCAGAGAACTCAGACTGCCTGGTGCTGTCCCCACCGCCAGGGTTGCTGACTCAGCCCTTTGCTCTGGTAGCAGCAGCTTGAAGTGGGCAGCCTCTTTGCAGGCCTGGCTCAGTGCCCCAGGAATGCTGCTCAGCCAGGGACACACAGAGACCATGCCAGTGTGGGCTGGTGGTGGTCCCTATATGGTCATTGTTTCTTTGCTTTCTTCTGCCCCCCCCCCCCCCCCCGGTAATCCTGACTGGCCCTGAGGACTCCATGTCATTTTGGGAGGCTGCAGCAGACTAGAAGAGTCTGATGTCCTCCCAGCTTGGACTCCACTCTGCTATGAGATCTTGCACCAAAGTCTTGACCATCCTGGGCCACAATATCCCTGATTAAGGGATGGGGATAGGTCATCTCTGGGGTTCCTTCCAGGCCTGATATGCTTTGGATTGTCTGCTTAAACACACAGGAAGCCTGGGCCCAGAGACAGCCCTGTCAAGGATCCAAAGCATGAGGGATGATCTACTTTGAGCTGCTAGTGGATTGGGAAGTCCCAGACCTAAATCTGTCACATAAGTGGTGGACTGCAGAGCAGCACCACTGCCGAGCCTTGCTTGCTCTCCCTGGGCTGGAGAGTGACTCTGGAGAAATAGTGGGTCTAAACACTTTTTGAGGCCCAAGGTCTCCAAGAGAGAGAGAGTTAAGCCTGGCTCAAGCAATAGACACTCAGTAAAACTAAAATGGAAAGGCAGCCATAGGTGAGGGACTTTGACATTGACTGCACAAGGTTTCTGGCCCCAGGAAGCCAGGGCTAGGAGCCAGGTCTGTGGCTCTTGCTAAAAATCCCATAGCCTGCCTAGGGAGAACTGAAGTAGGTCCCAGTGCACTGTGGACTTCTTGGGGTTGAATCAATAAAGGCAGGGACCCAGGTGAGGGGGTGGGCAAGTCATTTGTGCAGGAGGCAGGATCCTAGACCACCTTGGATGGGAGAGGCAGCACTTAGCCACGTTACGGGCTACTGGGTGTTAGGATGACCAGAGTTTATGCCTACGGAGGACGGGACCAGTGCCCTCACTCCTCCCTCCCTGTCTCTGTAGTTCTTGCAGATGGCTCTTGACTAAACCTGGGCTGCAGGAGTTCCCAGTGCTGCCTCACTTTTCCTGAATAATGGAGAGCCCTGCCCCCTCTCTCGATGACTCTGATTTCCATGCCAAGTATTTCTAGGCCCTTGACTCTCACCCGTCTGCCTAAACTCTCAGGCCATTTGATTCAAACAAGGGTCCCATGGCTGGGCTGAGCTACAGGTACCAAAGGAAGTTAAAGATCCAAAAAGTCTTCCAGTATCTCTGAGGCAGAGCCCCAGGCTGAAGGGGCGGGAGCGGGAGGTGGGGATTGGAAAGCCAGCTCAGCATGCTCCCTCCTCCCTCCCTCCATCCCTCCGCCCTCTCGGCTCAGTCGTAAGCCTTGGGGGTCGGGCCAGCAACAAGCTATTATCACAGACATGGGCCAAGGAATCCGAGGCCGCCCAGGGTCTGTGAGTTGAGCTTGAGGCTGCAGGACCAGGGTGAGTGGCTGGCAGCCTCTCTGCTTCTGTCTGGGCAGGGGGCTGGGGTCAATCTGAGATTCCTCTGTCCCCCTTCTTCTGGCAAGCACACAGCTCTTTCCCTCTGGCTTAGCCAGCTCCTTGAAGGCTCTCTTCTCTTCCACCCTGCACTGCTCCTGGCTTTTATCTGCCCCTGCAGTGGCTTCCCCTCCCCTAGCCACCTAGCCCAACCCTGCCAGGCTGGAGGATGGCAATGGTAGCCCAGTCACCTCTAAGAGGCTCTGACTTTTTAGCAGAGGCAGTGGGGACCCTCGAGACCACTGTGCAGCTGGTGTGATTCCCTACACTTAAATCCTTGCCTGGCCCCTTCCAGGAGCTAGCCAGTGATCCTAGCAGCATTTAGGGCCACTTAGTGCCACTTCCAGGGAGATGGCCCTGCTTCCTGCTTCCTGCTTCCTGCTCCTAAGCCCCCACCGCCATCCCGCCCCATTCCATGTCTCTGAGCCTCCGAGACTCCCTAGGGGCCAGACCAATAGGAAATAGAAATGTCTCCAAACCATGCTGACCTGCCAGAAGTTGTTCTGGACCTTGTAAGCCATAGATACCAGGATGAGGTCTATACCAGGCAGAAGAAGGAATGGACTCTTTCAGGTGTGTGACAAGCTAGGCAGCTCCCCTGAATGTAAGTCATCCATATAACCTGGCAAGGAAGACATATTGGTATTTTGTGTGAATAAGGGAGCATGAAGACCGGAAAGGTTAAGCTACAAGCCTAGGTCATGTTGTTTGTGTTATTCAGATTTCCCCCACAGGGTGAGACACATCTCTGACTGGGGGTTTGCTGCAACCTGGAGTTGGTCTCTGAGGGGTTTGCCTGCCCAGTGGAGCAGAACCAGCAAGACCCAGCAATATGGACAGGATCATTCCAGAATCGGGGTGTCTCTGAAGATGCTTCTTGATATCACCCTGACCCCTGGGAAGAAGACCCAAGAGCTTCTGTCCCTTTAACTTCATAGACTTTCTAAAAGAATCATTTTACCTTCCCAGCCTATATTAACCACAGAAAAAAATATTTTTGAATTGTACTAAATGTTAGAGAGGAACAGAAAGGAAATAAACAAAGTGACGCCAGAGGTGTAAAAACCAGTCTGGTTTCAATAGCAGTTTCTGATCTGTGACAATCGGGTGGTGCCAGTCCTTGAGCCTGTCACCACCTCAAAGGTCAGCTGCGGGCTTCCTGCCCACCCGACCAGGCTCCTCTGTAGTGTTCAGCCTACTTCCTCCCTGCTTCCTCCCTACTCTGGACCTCTTCATGTTCAAGGCCAATGGTGGTGCCTTTGAGTTTCCAGGGCTTTTGGTTCCCCCACTCCTGAATTTCAATTTACCACCCTAGTGGCCGATTGGTAGGCCTGTCATGATCAATGCAACCATCTTCAATGATTGAACTCTGGGCTTTCTCTGTGGAGCTCCTATGTAAAGATGGGTGCAAAGATACTAGAAGGGTGAACTCTGCTAAGCTGCAGATCCTCAACCTTGTTTTGTTCCAAAAGGGACATCCCATTTCCTGACTTGTTCTTCAAGAGGGGACCTCCTGCTTCTGCACAGAAGAGGCCTGTGGGATTCAATACCTTGGTTCTCAGGGACCCAAGCTCCTGCCATTTCCTGTGGTGTCTGCAGGTGGTGTTGGCAGCCATGCTCTTTAGAGGCGAAGGGACCAAACAAACATTCTCCATAGCGGCTTCATTCTTCCCAGGCCATGAGGCAGTAGCTACAATAGACAGATGCCAGGAGGCTCAGTGGCCAGTTAGTGCCCTCAGACTTGCTTCCCAGATGGTCCCAGACTTGCCTATTACAGGGGATCACCTGCTCTCCCTAGTAACACTGGGTCTGCCCTGGCTACAGCAGACAGTGTTACTCCTGGGCATTGACGTGCCAGATGTGCTGAGTCACAGGTGTCCATCTCTTCTTCCAGGTCATCATGGGGACAGACAGCTTGGGCTCCCTCTGGGTAGTACTTCTGCTTCCTCTTGTGTTTGGAGTCCCCACAGAGGAGCCCACTTTGGAGGAATCTGTGGCCCCCCATCTCACCAAAGGCTGTCACCGATGCTGTGACCCTGAGGGACCACTGTCCTCTGCTGAAGCTGTCAATGCTCCTGCTTCCCCTTCCGTCCCCTATGTCCTGCCTGAGGTCAGGCCCTACATCAACATTACCATCCTGAAAGGTGAGTTCTCACACTGGGCGAGTCGTGGGCAGAATTGGTATGGGTTAGGGAGGGACAAAAGAAAGCAGGGCAGGCTTTGCTAGGCCCTGCCTGCCTTGGGTCTACATATACATAGCACCTAGAATGTGCAAGGACTATCCTGAGTTCAGAGTGAAGGAATAGGTGGTGGGCAGGTGCTGTGCAATGAACAGATTTCCCAAGCTAATGAAGCAGGTGGTGGGAAAGGCCCCGGGACCCAAAATGTGGGCAGAGGGGTGCTGGGGTGAAGCGTGGGGCACAGGCAGTAAGAACGAGTATGGCAGGCACGCAGGGCCCCTAGCCAGGTGAAGTGTAAGCCTCAGGTCACAGGGTAAGGGGCTGCTCAGCAGGGCTGTGAAAGGAGGTGGCACAGGGAGACGTGGGCCCACACGGTCACCAGCTACCATCAGGGTATAGGCTTCTTTTCTGGGGGTCAGGGGACGTTGAGCATAAACAGGACTTGGCCTCCACAGGTGCCGTGTGGGGCACATGGCAGGAACAGAGGTGAAAGCGCCAAGTCCAGGGATCTCTGTGGCGGAGGTGGGGCCGTGGCTGTGTGGGATAGGGTTTCAGATGTAGGGGCTCTGTGGCGGAGGTGGGGCCGTGGCTGTCTGGGGTAGGGTTTCAGATGTAGGGGGATTAGTTCCACTACAGCCATGGAACCCATGACTGCAATGGCTGCACCACTGAGATCCACCTTTGCTCGCCACCCATTGTGAGGATATGACTGGGCCATCCCTCCCACCATGCAGATAGGGAAACATAGTATCCAGTAGGGGCTTTCCTGGGGTCACTTTGATGTCATGGACAGAGCAGGGCACTCTCCTCAGATAGCCAGCCCTCATCCAAGACTCTGCCCATTCTATTTACCTGGTCTCCTTGCCTCCTGGCCTGACTCAGTGCAACTTCAGGCAGCTTAGCCTCTGGTGGTGGAGGGGCTCAGGCCTGGTGACACTTTGCTCTGTACTCAGTGAGGTGCTTTTGCTGGGAGGTGACATTTGTAGACTCAGCCCCTAGCCATGGACAACCCCACTCCACTTTCCTTTGGTCAAGGACCTATGCCTTCCTTTCTGTCTCTACCTTCCACTGTCTTCACCACCATCATGGTCCAGGGGACCTGAGGAAGTACACAGACTCACCAGGAAAATATGGAGTCAGGTCTCTTCATTACACAATAATGTGTTTTGGGGTTGGGGGTGTCTTGTCTATGATCAGAGTCAGCCTGGAGCCAGGGATGAAAAAGTAAGTGACTTGGTTGGAGGTCACCATTGCCAGGGAGGGTGGAGATGGGCTGGGCCATGTTGAGTGGATGTCCTGCCCTCTCCCTGTCAAGTAAGGACTCGTGTATCTCATTGCCCTAGACACCCAAGACTCCCCAAGTCCCCTGGCCAAGATCTCCCAAATCCCTCTCTAACAAGAGGTGAAAAGTGTGTCTTTCCTTGTCCTACCTCCCTGCTGGCCTCAAGGGGAGGCCTCCTGGAAGCCTGCCTTGCCCTCCTTGCCAGGACAGAAAACAGCCTGGGTCTTGGAAATGGCGCCAGTTTCACTTCTGCAGAGCTATGTTTGAGATGGTAAATGTCCAGCAGACAATAGGTGCTCAATAAACACCAGGCTTCTTTTGTGGACCCGGGCAAAAGCAATGGCTTCCAAAAATGAGGGCTTAGTATAAGCCAGGGTGCTTGTCCTAACTTCTCCCCTTCATGTCCTCACAGGTGACAAAGGGGACAGAGGTCCTCTAGGAACACCAGGGAAGCCAGGCAAGGATGGTACCCGAGGGGACCGTGGCTCTCAGGGTGTCAAAGGTGACAAGGGGCAGGCAGGCAATCCTGGCAGCTCGTGCCAGATGCACTACTCGGCCTTTTCTGTGGGTCGCAAGACAGCCTTGCACAGCAGCGAGGACTTCCTCCCATTGCTGTTCGACAGAGTCTTCGTGAACACCGACAGCCACTTCGACATGACCACTGGCCACTTCATGGCTCCGCTACGCGGCCTGTACTTCTTCAGCCTCAATGTGCACAGCTGGAATTACAAGGAGACCTATGTGCACATCGTCCACAATGAGCAGGCAGCTGTGATCCTGTATGCACAGCCCAGTGAGCGCAGCATCATGCAGAGTCAGAGTGTGATGCTGCCGCTGGAGCCCGGCGACCGCGTGTGGGTGCGGCTCTTCAAGCGGGAGCGGGAGAATGCCATCTATAGCGATGATGTGGACACCTACATCACCTTTAGTGGCCACCTGATCAAGGCAGAGGACTGAACTTCTCTGGCCAGCTTCACAACCAAGCAGCTTGGGGGAGAGCTGGTGGCTAGGGCAAGTCCTGTGGGCTCCCCAGGGCTGGATCTGCTGAGCTTCCTTCTTTATTATCATCGCTTTGTAGTCTGTCTTCACCCCCTACTCCCATCCCCTTCATTTTCAGAGACTTTGGCTTTAAGTATTCCAGAACTTTCTCAGCCTCTAGAGTGGCCCTCCTCACACACCACTGTGCTGTTCATCCCTGGGGACTTTCTTGTATGGTAGATCCTGGCTTGGCATTTAGGAGTATGCCCAGGATTCTGTATTTCTAGCATTTTCCCCAGTAATGCCGATGCCACTGGTCTATGTACCATGCTTGAGGGATTAGGCTTTCTACAATATCCCTGGCATTCTAGGACTTTCCAAACATTCTGGAATTCCCCCCAAACTCTAGCATCCTTCCTGCATCCTCAGGTTTTTCTCTTCATCCCGGGCCCACCCCCACCTCTGCCCTTCCCACCCCTCCCCATCACTTGGTCCCAGGCCTGAGGAAAGCCTCGACGAATCAATCAGACCTAGGTCCTGTCCCTCCCCTGGACATGGGTTGGGGCATAGTCAAGTGGGTACAAAGACTTGAGCATGTACTGGGTGCTCCTCTAGACTGGGTGGTTAGGCACTGAGGGCCATTCTTCACTGCTCCCGTGGTGGCACAGGTTCTGGAGGTAGGGATGATGCTCCTTCCCCATTCTCTACCTTTTTGCCTGATGCCCAGCATTAAAACAAACCCTAGGTATAGTCTTGGCTAGGAAAGACTCAAAAATTTGGAGGCACCTGGAGTGATAAGGGACCTGGGAGTGAATTGGAGCCTATTATCCTCCCTGACCTTTGAAGAGTCCTCCTGCCCTACTTTCCTCACTCCCCAGAACTTTAGCCATGGTCAGACCATGCACTAGGTGCTCTCTGATCCTCCTGGCCCCTCCAAAGCCCAGTGTCACACAGGGCTTAAGGTGCTAAGGACACCCAGGAGGTGGCTCGCATTCAGAGCTTCACCTGCCCATGTTGCCCTTGCAGACATCACAGGGAGTCAGGCAGGACAGAGATGGAAGGTTTCAGCCCAAAGCAGGTCTAGGGACTGAAGCCAGTTGACATTCAGGTTATATGGGGATCTTCTCTGAGTCATGTTGCCAAGACAGGCCCTGGAGAAAGTCATGGAGGAGCAGGGACACCGAGACCTCCATGCTGTTCCCAGGGTGTATGGCCTGGTGACCCTCTAGCCTTCCCCTCTTCCACTGCAGGCTGCCCAAGCTTCTAAGGGGAAGGTAGCCTCCGTCCATTGGTGCTTCTGCAGACCCAGGGCAGGGCTGGCTCTGGGCGGACATCTCTGGTGCTTACAGCCAAGGGAACCATGGCAGGGTGACAGGGACAAGGCCTGCCACGTGCTGTGAAGACTGGTTATACAAAACCACCCTCAGCCTGACTGTCCTTGCCTGCTTGGCCAGTGTGAATAAAATTCCTGGATTCTCTTGGCAATTCAGCCTGGTAAATTTTGCCCTATGCCCTTTCTCTGCCTTGGAAGACAGTCACTCTGGCCCTGCTGAGGGCAGATACAGGGCTCCACAGAAACAAAGCCTTGCTCGGTGTTTCACTCTGTATGTTCTCCACCTGCAGAGAAATCAGCTGCAGCCAGTGGCTCACACATCTGGAGTTCTGGAGTTAGTGGCACTCCCTGAGAGTCAGCTGGAATCCAGGTAAGTCCCCACATCTCTGAGCCTCGATTTCACTGCCTGCAAAGTGGAGGTGGCAATGGTTTACTTTACAGGTGGCTTCAGGACTAAATGGCATGTTGCTTGGCAAGTGCCATGGTCCTTCTTGGACAACATCTGTTGGTCACCTGCAGTGGCATACTAATCATTTCCTTAGAGAGAGACCATTCAGAGACTCATGTTCCAGCCAGGAACTCCAAAGTCCACACCAATTGTACTAGCTACTGTCTTGTGACAGAGCAACTCAAGGAAGAAAGGGTTCATTGTGGCTTGAGGGTACAGTCTACCATGGCTGGTCACATCTGCAGTCAGGAAGCAGGGAGAGGGAGCCTGCTGCTCACTGTCCTGGCCCCCAACCATGCAATGGTGCCATCCACAGGGAAGGACCATCATCATAGTCTAGAAAGAGCCTCATAGGCATTCCCAGACACTCGGCTTAGGTGATTCTAGATCCTATCGCATAGAAAATATTCACCACATACCAACCACAGTACTTCATTCGTGTGAGGGACCTCAGAGTCCTGTACCTCTGTCTCATGCTTATAAAGAGAACAACTGGAAAAACTCATGCCTCATAGAGGATATTCTGTTGGGGGCGGCTCAGTCCCTTGCCTATACTGTTAAAGTAACCCTGGCCACCCCTCTCCTTGGCTGCTGCTGTGGGTGGAAGGTCAGGAGTTTGTGCCCCGCTCTCTGTAATCATCACTGTTGGTAGCTCCTGTGTGCCTTGTGGAAGATGGGCACTGCAAAGAACACACCATCTGTACCTGCTTGGAACCCAAGCCCACTCAGGACTCCAAAGGGAGGCTTCTCAGTGACCTGCAAAGAACAGACCTCACAGTGTGCTCTGGCCAAGCTCTTGCTTGTTTAATATACTCTCGACACAAAGAAGGCCTGGATCTGCTGCCTTGTGTGTCAGCAGGATTTGTGGTCAGCTTACTGAAGTTTTGGAACACCTGTAGAATTTGCACACTGAAGCCAAAGCCACAGATAATTCCAGGCAGTGCTAAACCAGCATCCCGCCTCACCCTTCTGTTCTACTACCCAATGCACTTCCTCCCAGCCTCAGTTCAGAAGTGGCCATGAGATTGTCTCCAACAGTACTTGTGCTCCATATTCCTGACTCAGTGGCATGGTCCCAGGAGCTTCTGATCTTGGTGACGGGCAGGCATGGTGGGGCTAGGGGAGAGGCTCCAAAACTTGGAGACTGTCCAAGCCAGGACTGTGGAGAAATCTGTGTTTGTAAAAGCAGAGAGATCTGGGCATGGTGGTGCATGCCTTTGAGTCCAGCACTTGGCAGAGGCAGGAGGATATCTGTGGTTGGAAGCTAGCCTGGTCTATATAGAAAGTTCCAGGCTAGCCAGGGCTACATAGACACAGAGAGATAGACAGACAGAGACAGAGAACCAGTGAACAGGACAGGATTAGACAGGAGAGATAACATGTGTGAGCTTGGTCTGGGGTTGTCATTGGTGCTGGAGCCTTTAGGAGGCAGCTCACAGGGCCAAGTGGTGCAGAGATACCCACACCAGAAGGATCTCTGTGGTCCATGGTGGATGTGAGCCCCAGAAATTGGGAGGATGCCATGAGAGGAAGTTCCCACGGGACTTTGAAGAAGGTGGGAAGTTTGGAAGCCCAGCCCAGGCAAGGTCCCTGCCCACTAGGCTCCCCAATTCCTAAACACTTTTGTCTAAGAGGCCTGCTGTCTGTCTGTCTGTCCTGGCTTTGCACAGGACAGTCTTTTGTTTGGCTGAAGGGATGGAGGGTGCTAGATAATTTGTTTATCCTTTTGGACCCGACATTGCCTTTCTAACATCTGATCCCAAGTCTTCTTGCCCTACTGAGGACTTTGGCTCAAGGAACCCATGGGAATGGTGGCAGAAGCCCACTTCAGAACTTAGGAGTATGCACAATGGGGGATAATGAAGTAAGGACTTATTTTTCCAGAAAATACAAAGCACGTGTGAGACATTGGGAGCACAGGTCCCAGCTCCTGTGGGCTCTGGAGCCAGACTGGGGGCTCTGAGGAGGCTACTTCCCCTTTAGGTCCACCCTGTGAGAGCCCATCTCCTCAGTGTTCCCTGTGTTCTTCTTTGTGTGAGCTCCCCTTGTGTCCACATGATAGTGGGGGGGGGGGCGGGGACTCTGCTCTGGTTGAAGAACACATGCCTGTTGGATGAATGACTGCTGAGTGTGCTTCTCCTGACCCGTCCTACAGATCCCTCAGTGTGGGCCACATGCTGCCACGTGTGCAGCTGCAAGGCAGGGAGAGAGCCAGAGACACTCACCAGGAACAGAAGCAGATGGGGAGGACATTATGGGTGGGGCACGTGGAGGGATTCCAGGACAAGTCAAGAGTTCATAGGGCTGGGCAGGCCTGGCCTCTGAGCACAGGAGGACCACTGGCAGGAAGGCCTTAGGTGGAGATCGCAGTCACCCTGAGGAAGAAGTTGACCCTCAGGTGGGTCAGAGGTAGGATGAGTTAGGGACAGATGCAGGGCCCTGTGTCCTGGCAGGTGTCTGACCTCTTCCCAGGGACTGCTAGTCAGTCCAGGGGAAGAAGTGACACCTTGAATTCCGACACAAACGGAGCAGGGCTTGAGTTCTTTGACCTTCATTTCAAGGACAGCTTTCATCACTGGAACTGAAGAAGGGTGATGTAGTTCACTCTGGCCTCCTGCTTGCCACTGCCTCTCCCTGAAGCAGCTTTAGTGTCCCAGTGTCATCTGCGAGATATGTCTGTGCATTGCTCAGTGTCCAGTGTGGGCTCCAGATGCAGTCACTCCATCACCCACCAAACAGCTGCCTCCAGGTTCTGGTCATCATCTCTCAAGAAACACCTAGGTCTTCTCTGTACCTTGAAGGGCAGTCAGAACCAGGCCTCCCCAGCCTGCCCACTGAATCTTAGAAGTAAGGCCTCTCTCTCAATCTCTCTCTCTCTGTCTCTCTGTTTCTGTGTGTGTGTCCCCAGGCTCAGCCTGGGCAGAGAGGACAAGATCACTTGGGCAGGTGTCTCACCCAGGTGTGACAAGGGGACAGAGCAAGAGGTGCATGACTGTTGGGACAGCAGCAGCTCCTCACTTGTCATTGGCTAGAACTGGTCACATGACTTAATCCAAGGGGCTAGGCTGGACATCCACAACAAAATCAGTCTCACCAAGGGTGGAGGCATGAGAGAGCCACCCTAGTCTAGCTTTAGTAGCAGCACTGTCCCAGCTTCAGAGCTCCTGACCCTTCCTAGGAGAGCTGAGCATCGATGAAATTAGCCCACCCACCCCCAACACACACACACACACACACACACACACACACACACCCCTATGGTTAAGATGAAGCTCTTGAGGTTTTGCCAGGGTCTAAGTCTGAGCACTTGATAGCATCTCCTGAGCTTGTGCCTCAGTTTCCCTACCTGTACAACAGAATCTACAGAAGAAACTGGTGCAGGGTTAAAGTCTAGCACAGAACCTGGGGAGGTCCTCTGTGGAACCTGATTCTAAGGCAGATGTGTCATTGTCATTTTACAAAGAAGCCACCATGAAGCCACAGACTGGTCCATGGCATCCTCCAGAAGCACGCGGTCCACTGAGTTTGCAGTCTACACTGGTCAGAGGGTCCCACTGTGATGTCACAGGGGCTGGCAGTGTGCAAAACCCAATGTATCTCCTCTGGCGGTCTGTGGTTTGCAGCAGAGGAAGATGAGGGTAGAAGCCAGTGTGGAGGGCTAGCAGGAGCAAGGAGCTCACAAAGGCTTGAGTCAGGCAAGGGAAACAACTGCTAACTTCCAGGGCATTCAGGGTCAAGATGAGGGTGGAGGACTTGGAAGGACTCTGCTGGAAGAAGGAGTGTGGTTGGCACTGTTGGGGTCTGATTCTCAGCTGGCCCCACAGGTCGAATTTTACAGTCTTGTTCCCCAGATTGATGTGCTGTTCTTCAAGGCTTTGGGGACTCTAGGAGGGAGGGCAAGCTGGCAGATGTGGGTCATTAAGGGTGGGCCTTTGATGGTGATACAAGACCCGTGTTTCTGGTCATGTTTTTTGCTTTCCTGGTCTTCTGTGAAGTAACCAGCATCTGCCATGTACTCCTGCCACTGTGCCCTGAGCCCCTCCACCATGTCCTGAGACCCTCCACCATGACCTGAGACCCTCCACCATGACCTGAGACCCTCCACCATGACCTGAAGACCCTCCACCATGACCTGAGACCCTCCACCAAGACCTGAGCCCCTCCACCAAGACCTGAGCCCCTCCACCAAGACCTGAGCCCCTCCACCAAGACCTGAGCCCCTCCACCATGACCTGAGCCCCTCCACCATGACCTGAGACCCTCCACCATGACCTGAGACCCTCCACCATGTCCTGAGACCCTCCACCATGTCCTGAGCCCCTCCACCATGTCCTGAGCCCCTCCACCAAGACCTGAGCCCCTCCACCATGACCTGAGCCCCTCCACCAAGACCTGAGCCCCTCCACCATGACCTGAGCCCCTCCACCATGACCTGAGCCCCTCCACCATGTCCTGAGACCCTCCACCATGACCTGAGCCCCTCCACCATGACCTGAGACCCTCCGCCATGACCTGAGCCCCTCCACCATGACCTGAGACCCTCCACCATGTCCTGAGACCCTCCACCATGACCTGAGCCCCTCCACCATGTCCTGAGACCCTCCACCATGAACAGAGACCCTCCACCATGTCCTGAGACCCTCCACCATGACCTGAGACCCTCCACTGAGGCTTTCCCACCGTGATGGACCAAAGTCTTCTGCA